ACGAACACAACACAATGTCCCCGGCCAGGGCTCGAACCCGGACCGCTCGATCCGGAGACGAGCGCACTAACCATGAGGCCACCGCGCCTCCCTCTATCATTTCTATCATTAATAAACTAGCGGCTAAATACAGGAATTGTGCCAAGTCTGCTCTGGTTTAGTCTGCTGGCAGCAGGTTTTCTCTCTAAGGGTCACTAGGACGAGTCCTTAGTCATCGTAAACGCAAAAGGGCGGTATGGCGTTGGCCGCGTAGGGAAGAAGGCGGGACAAGGGCGGAATGACCGAGTAGGGAAGAAGGCGAGACGAGAAGCGTGCCCCATGTCTCGTCCCATTCTCCTTTAGCCAAAACGTCTCGCCTCATAACCCCTACTGAATTTCGAGAGAAAAACAAACTGCCAGCAGTCTAACCTACGTATCACTAAATACCACTTTGGTTATTAACAGGACTCCGTTTAGCCTAAACAGCACTTTGGCTAGCCTAAACTGCACTCCGGCTAGCCTAAACTCCGCCGGTTAGCCGTATGCCCCTTCCACTCTACGCCGGAGAAATTTGAAAATGCAACTTTATTTCTACGTTATATACAGTTCCACTTTTGAAAACGGAGATTTTCGAAAACGATGACATCACTATAATCAGGAGGTTTCCTTGCTCGTGTTTTCCTCAAACACGAATCGAAAATGACCGGCCATGGTTTCGTTTTCAAATTTCTCCGACGTAGTGTGGACGGAAAGCATTTGATGCGTTTTCAGAGTGAAAACGCCGTTTTCAAATTTGTCCGTCTCTAGAAGTTAAGTTAGCGCTGGCTTGGGATTGGTTAGCTAGCTCTTTGACTGGATGCATTTTCTTTATTTAGCAGTATGTGTGAAAATTAACGGTGACTAAGGTCTCTTCGCAGATGACTTTATTAAGGGAAGCTGTAATTATCAGACATAAAAAATCTCTGGCTTCTGACGCCATGTGAAGCCGCTAATGAAACCCTCGACTCCCAAGATCGAGATATTTTAATTTCTCCCTATACTAATTACATTCATTGCAAGTTTATTTGTGAGAATTTAATGATACTCTTAAACCGGCCATTTTTTAGTTTTCTCATCACACGACTGCTTGGCGTTGAAATAGTAAATTATTTCGTATCCAAATTTTCCCTGAATGTGAACAGGAGACGACACGAATTATTATTCTCTTTATTTCGATTTTAGCTTGTCACTTTGTGGTCAAAATATCACTCTCCAAGCCATTTATTGTCATTACTTGACTATATACAGTTTGAATACACATTTGCACTGAACTTAACGCTTACAACTGAATGATGCACTGTTGATATCCTGCGTTATTATGCTCTTGCTATCGAAATCCTCCATCTTTCAATCCTTCTCTCATTTTAATTGTCTTACATGTTCGTCGTTGTTTGTTTGTTTTGGGTGCTAGCTTCTGGGTTAGAACGGGAAAAGTTATCTTCCCTCCAAAAGAATAGTTTTGGTGAAGTTTTGTAAATAGCTTCCCGAATACTTCGCAATCGATAGCTGTAAATGAATGGGTTGACAGAAGAATTCACAAACGACAATGTTTCTAAGCAAATATAAGCTAACTTGACCGGCCCAGTGAATCCGAGGATAGTATAAGCGACAAGATAACAAATAAAAGGAACGTAAAACAAAACTACAAGTGTTACTATATATACTGCTGTTAAGGTGAAAGTCCTAAAACTTTTAATCTCCGTTGCCGCCATTTGGCCGTGAAGACGATTGCTCAGTGCCACTTCGTCATGGATCCGTCTTTGATGACGTTTGATCACTTTAAATATCTTAAAGTAACTCACAACGTTGATAGTTAAGTTCACGAAGGATACAACAGAAGCCATTCCTAAGAATGTTTGATTCGGCAGCCCTGCAAATCGAGCCAAATACAGAACAATGCATAATAACCAATACAACGCTACCAGAAGCACAATACGAGAATGCGTAACAAGTGTGTTGTGCTGGAGAGGTTTTAACAGAGCCACAAGTCGCTCCACACTGATAGTGGTGAGAATACAAAATGACACACTTGAGATTATCCAGGTTAAAGCGTTCTTTGCCAAGCGAATACTGCAGTACATGTCAATGTTATGTAATTCCTCCATTATTCTTTGCACGACATCTAAAGGTTGGACTACAGCGCCGACAAGGAGATCAGCGAACGCGATCCAGCAAAGAAGGCTGTTCTGGGGTGTATGAAGGCTTGAAGTTTTCCAGAAAGATATTAAAACGACAGCGTTCGAAGATGTTGCGATGAGCGCAAAAATCGCGTTCAAAACGCCAGCGATTACATTTGCAATGGAAATGTATCTAAGAGACTGCTGATTTGTGTCTAAAAACAAGCAGTTTGCCGAGGAAGTGTTGGAAGTGTTCCATGCCATTAGTTCTGGTTTGCAATTATCACGTCAGCTGAACACATCCTCAAAATAAAAATCAGGTTCAAAGATCAATTCAGTTTTATCCTGACTGCAGGCTGTAGCGAGAGTCTGTTTTGTTTTGTGGGCAAAACTACTCAGCAAGACAGAAGGTCAATTGCAGATCTGCAGGGAGTTTCACTTCAAACCCAACTGTAGAAGGTAATCAGGAAACCGCTTGATCAAAATCGTAATTCAAATGGAAATTTCTCATCATGTGTAGATTTCATATAAGTGTTACCTAGCGTTTGCTTAATTTCGACAGACGGGGGTGGTTATATGCCCATATTCGGGGCTACTAGGTCCGTGCTTGAGCTTCACCTAATGTTGTCTAAAAGGTGGTTTCAGAAGTAGTAAGGAGGGGGGGGGGNATTGAGCGCTAAACCCGGCCGGTCCCCTCCTCGGCGTCTTAATAACAGGCACATTCAACTGTCAAACCCCTAGTAAACATTTGGACTACAGTTTTAATTGACAACCGGCAATAAATCTTCGCGTAAACCGTCTTAAAAATAGAAATTTAATCATTAATGGGATCTCGAATGTTAAGCTTTAGAGCTGTAGTGGAGAGAAAATTTAAAGCGTCTACATGTAAGGTATATTGGAAAGAAAGCTAGTGACCACCAATGAATGCCTTGAATAGGGTATTATAACTGAACAGCTCATAGAGTCTATTTTTTTCTAAAGAATAAAAGAGAATCAAAATTAGGTATTTACTGCTTTTAATTATTAAGTGGAACGCTTAAAAGGATAGCAAAATCAGAAGTGGAAGGTAACAATTTCAAGTGTGTTTTCACGCTTATCCAAAATTCAGTCAAGTACTTCCCTTAAAATGTTATATCATGTTCTGAAAAGTAATAGAAAACCAGACTTTCGCGTTAATTATCTTTAAGGAACAGATAACGTCCTATATCTTGATGTTTTCACTCATTAAATGGATTCTCAAATTTGCATGAATATCTAAATACTTTCAATTTCAATTTGCGGTAGATGAATTAAAGTTTAAGCACCCTATGGATATGTAATGAGCACTATAAACTCCTTCTGGTGACGTTACGATAAACATACCCACCCACACGACATCAATTGACCGTTACGCTTCCGAGGCTTAATGCATTAAACAGTTCATGCAGTGAAGCTTGTAAGTGAAACTGTCTTTGCAATTTCTCATAATCGTTTTGAAAGAAATTTATTAACGAAATAGAATATTAGACCATCTGCGATAAATTACCTTTTCAAACATTTAATCCAACAGAGGAAAAAGTTTAATGAATCACGACAGAAGCTCTTCCTGCAGTCAAATGCGGTTTACTTTTAAGCGAACCTTTCCACTAGAGATCCCAATGGAAACGGGTGAAATATTACGAAAACTGCGGGGAACATATTTCCCTGGGTTACTGACCTTTGAAACAAACACAAGGTATTTTAAAAGATGAAGGGATAAAAAAAAAAAGATAATTGGGCTAAGTTTGCAAAAATACGGAACGTTTCGACAAATTAGTCGCCTTTCTCGCTTTCACCCCAAAGACATTAAATAGTGAAACTGGGTACTTCATGAAAATTTTATCTTTTGTTTTAGTCTTTTATGTTTAATATTTGGAACCATAACATCTCAAACTCGAATTTTCTTCTTTGTGATTTCAATATTGTGGTAATATTTTAGGTTTTAATTAATTTTAAAATCCAACCTCCTTTTATAGTGTCAACAAATTTCTAATAACTAGAAACGCAGATTTTTAATATATTTACTTTATTCGTGCAAACGAGCTTTTGAAGACTGCAAAAAAGCTGAAAAAATATATGAATACTTCCTTACAAAAAGGGATAATGAAAAATGAAGAAACGTTAGTTTTGTCCTTTCATTTTGCCACTAATCACGTGACCTATTCTGCGCACAGCTGCGTATTACACATTCTGTTTTTCGCGGGCATTTCCTGGGCTTGACATGCGCTGTAGCTGGCTGGTGTTTTGTCATCTGACCTCACGCACCTTGCATCTCGTGTTTGAAAACCTGACAAGCAAATCAGTGTATCACGAAAACGACCAAATAGAACTAATAATCAAAGAACTAACTTTAAGGTGGCTCAATCAATGCTAGCGCTCTTTTTCAGCTGATGCTATAATAATGGTATCAGTTAAAACCAATGGCCAATGATCGGTTAAAACGTTAAGGTCGTGACGCTAAAGGTTGCCATAGCAAGAGCGTAGCCCGCGAATTCACTCTTAAGTTAAAAGCGAGCTCGGTGATCCCATTTTTCATTATGTTAAATGCAACTTTTTGTCAAGTTTAAATGAGGGAGGGAGTGATCTAAATCTACTCCCACAAATTATTTTGAACTTTGTGAATCTTGGCCTGCTGTTTACAATTCCTTAATAAAAACTCTTGCTTGAGTTATAGATGAGTTGCTAAGCAACCTCACTAACCAAATATGCAAGCTGAGTTGATTCTCTTTGGTTTGTCTCTTACTGAAAATATCAATTACTGTCCGACCGCACTGCTTGGTAATAAAGTTCACCCTGTATTTACCGTTTCAGGAAATACCATCTGCACATTTGTCATTGTGATGCAAAAATGTATCTGTTGTCCATTATACATCTTTTGAGGTGTTTCTTTGCACGAATCTTGCGCACTTTCTCCTGCTCTGTGGATATAATGATCAATGAATAAAAATGAAGCTACTTCGAACTGTTTCTTAACTAATTTTAGTATCCCGGAGTTACCATCATTTTTGTGTTTGGGTAAGTTTGGCTGTTAATTTTATGACACGTCGCATATATTTGATAGGCTGTGTGTCCTTCATAAAATCCTTTGCAAAGGCAGGTTGAAAAGCAGATGCATACATTCATGCATGCACTTTATTTATGCTTGACTTTACAGAATGGTTACACATAGCTAATATCTTCGAGGAAAATTAAAAGAAACTACGCGAACTGAACGAACTACACGTACAAATGTATGTAGTACAGACGTCCTTTAGCCTACGATCGTTCGGTACTCTTCTAGATGCCGGGGCATAACTTGAAAAGTTATAAATAGTTTCCTTTTGTAGGGAATATGAACAAGTCTATTATATCAAACGTTGTTACAACGACTATTTCCTAACCAAAACTACTCGAGACCAAAAGCAGTCATAATTTGAAATAAGTCGTTACCCACACTTGACGCCCGCCACCTTTTCTCCAACCTCGTTCCCAGGCTCTCTCTCCTCTGCCTCCCTTTGTTCGTTGGGAAAGAGAGGCAAAGGAAAGAGAGCCCGGCAACGAGGTTGCCTTTTTTCTCGCGCTTGGCAGTGATTGCTACTGATCACACGCTTTCCGCGCTCGACACTGGCTGCACGTTTTCAGGTAAGTTTTCTGAACTTTTGGTCCTAGGATGGATACAAGTTGATGCAAACACGAGAGGACGTTTGGGAGCGGCAGTTAGGATGGGCTCGATTACCAGCCCGCTGTTCGGGAAAATGAACCCGCAATCCAAATCGAGCCTACAGGTAAGATGTCTTTCTCCGGGTCCTCTAATGACACAAAGAACGATGGAACGCTCGCCGAGAAAACCGAGCCGAGAGGAAAGAGATTCTGTCAGGACAGACTGTCGAGCAAACGAAGATAAGGAAAAGACTGTGACCACGAAAAATCGAGATCATGTGCGCGACTCTGGCAATCAGTCTTTGAAGTCATTAACAACTTTTTGTTTACGCACTGGTGTAGCAAAAAGAATTGTGCAGTGAAATCACTCATTGATAACACAAAGAAACCGAAGATGAAATGAGATAATTTCAAAAGGCTGAATTTGTTATAGACTCAGTTTAGGAAATGAAAAACACAATTAGCTGAGAGCATTTTTCTGCAATGTCGAATTTCTTTATTAAACTGTCAAAAATCAAATTTCCTTTCGTCCGACAGGCAATTGCTCGCACAATCGGCGGGCGACGTTATTCTGTTATAAGAGTGTGTTGAGGTGTAATAAGACACAACTCAGGCAGGAAAAAAGGCATTTGGAACAAACCGTTTGATCAAGTGTGATTATCGAGGTAAGATTTCTTTCAAATAAAAAATATTCACTTTTCTGTGAATGACTTCTTACGAATACCTCAAATGTAATAAGATTGTTCTTAAAAGGGTTTAATCTTTTTACTCCTAGATTTAATTTTAAATTTCTGGCAAGACACTGTTATATTTTCTACGGGATCTTTACTATCAAGGAATTGTACTTTTTACCACGCAGTCTAATTGGAAATTTGAAAGTTCGCTCCAAGACATTAGAATTAACAGCTAAAAAGAAACATTTTCACTTACACCAAAACTAAAAGCTTTTCTTTTATTGCTTCAAAAAGTGGTATATATAATTTAACTTCAAAAAACAATACTGAATTTTGTATTCACATGTGCAGTGTGGTTACACAAACTCTACACTGAGTTGTTTATTACACCGCCATAATGTATCACAGCTGGTCAGAAAAATATTACTTTTTCAAAGAGGTGAACTTCGAAATTTTCCTCTAGCCCGATGACATTAATTTAATTTGCTTGCACGGTAGCTAATGGTGTTACTCTTCCGAGGTGATTTAAAGCTGTTAGTGATCGCTTGAATATTAGTAGGAATTTTTGCTTCACGCTCAGTCCTGAATAACTCGATTTCTTGGGTAACTGAACCCATGATGTCCACTTCACCAGAAAATTCAAATCGTGGGTGTTTACTCACTTATAGCCCTGTCAAATATTTTATTCGTCGTAAACAGACACTTAACTCGATATTAAAATTGGGACTTTTTAATTTGTTAACATTTGTTACTTCCTCACAACTGTTTATTAACTGTCTTAGACATATAAACACCCAGCTAACATTTGTAATATTATTAATAGGTTTTTCTACGAACAAACACGAAGCCACTTCACTTTTCCAATCGGAAGTTGTTACATCATTTAGTGCGTCATTTGGAAGATACCTTAGAATAATCAACCTCGTTCCCAGGGTCCTCTCTCTACAGGACCCAAGGAACGAGGTTGTCTTGGTAACAAACTAAACAAATGAAAGTGA